GTAGACTAGGTATAACTAGGAGAGAGGAGCTACGGAGCAGAGTAGCGTTTACAGCTTCATATCAGACAATTTTTTACATGTTTCGTAATAACACAATGTAAAGTCAAGTTGTTGTCATCTAACATTTTGTTATAATTTGAAACAATTTGGTGATACGGCAGTGGCCACGTTTCTTGGCCTTCGCGTTTCTTGGCTTAGAATGTAGTCAGACTGAATTAGAATGAAATATGTTTTGGGAAAATTTGGAACGTACGTCACATTTTAATGTACAACCCTGAAATTTGTGTTTAGCAATAAAATCTTAGATGCAATAAAACCGAGTATGCAGAAATTTTTCGATTTTTAAATTGCCGACTATGTGCTTCAAAAGTACATGTACTAAAAGTTTTTTTTATCGTCAATAGCGATCTTCTGCCCACGTTTCTGCCCACGAGAAATTTCAATCTGGAATCTATCCGGGAAGATGAAAAATAAGACTCAATTACAAATCATTAAAAATCATAGTAAAACAAATCCGAAAACATCATGTGATTAGCCCATAAAGCATAGGTTAGAGAGAGTTGTATTGTTAATTTCTAGAATTTTCGAATTAAGATTTTTTCATTAGTGTTATTTGTTATAAATTTATTTATAATTATATATATTTATGAGTTTTATGACATGCATTTTTTATATGGTTTAGTTATAATACTTACAAAGTCATTTTGGAAATGTGGGAGTTCACTGTTGTTGGACAATACTTACCATTCCTTAAATCGTGACAAAATGGCCTTGCCAAAGATCAACTTTTAGACCCTAACTGTTTACCGTCTTCTCAAGCTTACGAATCCGGTGACACCTAGTCCATTGACTTTACTAAACACTACTCGTTTGGGAAAACAAATTTAAGTTGGGCCACATAACATTGATGACAATCTAAATAATTACGCAGAGCATTTTAAATCAAGTTCATCATCTGATGCGAAGATGACTGTCGCATCCAAGTAAGAAATCGATAAATCGCATGATAAAACGCGTGTAAAACACCGATCCAATTTGAAAACCTCACATTATAGTAACCGATAGGTATCACCGAAAGAAATTTTAGAGTACCGATTGTTAGATATATCTATTTATATATATATGACACAGTATAAAACACCCTTATTTAACCATGCTAGATGGTTTCGCTGGGAAGATTGTTAAATCCTAATGAATTGTTCAAAAACAACAACAACAAACAATTATTTTTACATTAGAAAATATTTTTTTAGATAAAATATTTCTCACGATGTTAATCATTCCTGTTTTGATTACCAGCTGATGGCCAACCAAACACTCGAAATATTTACCAACCCCTTGGTATAATTATATATATGCATTTTCTGTCAGTTATTAGTTCCTATTTGAACTTCTAACCCTAATAAAAATAATAAATCTAGTTAAAAATGACAATTTAGCACCACAGGGCTTGTCAATGACGTTGATTGCGTAAGGGAGGCAATTGCACTGGGCTCCTTGTTATGTATATCGGCGGTCCGTAAGAGAAAAGTAAGCGTATCATATCAGCAGGCAGAGACATCACTTCAATGCCCTTCAGTGCAAGAGGTATAGTCTACGAAAAGTATATATATTAGAAAGACTGACTTGATAATTCGTTGTCAGAATTCGCGAAAGTTTACTACTAATGTTCGAATAGCAGTTGACGGTCAAGGATCACTAGGATGAAATGCAGGAAGTTCGAGAGACCAATAAATGTAACTTAGAGATGATTCATTGGTTAACTTAAAGACTCCGTGATGGTGATTTATTATGCATATAATGGTGTGCCACAAGAGATACATTTAGAGAGAACAATATTTTCAAATTTATTTGCTAAGTTTACATATAAAAAATAGTTTAGAAAATCTATTAGAATGAAATTTGATGGGTCTTTAGACTAATTCCCAATAGTGTTTAATGTGTCTCGTTGTGCCATCATATTGGGTCACTTTCCGTCAGAGTCACAAGACAAATGCACAGAATGCAACGAATGGTAAACGTTTTTGTTAGAGAAAGATCACCATGATCCCATCGTTCGCCCCCGAGAATAAACGATTTCTATTGGTAAAGTAGGTGTTTACTGTGTATTGAGGTAGATATCTTATTTACGCTAGATTTCTCCTCGATAAGGTTGCTCATAAGCGAATTAGTAAATTCTGAATTGGTCGATGTGGCTAGCTGATCTTCTCTGTCGTGCTATAACAGCGTGTTCGTATTAGGATTAAGTTCGGGAGAGCTTTGTAAAACATTAGTTGAGTTATGAAGAGTGACAAAGCAATTGTGCTTTTTCCTTATTCAGCAAGTGTTGAAGCTTAACACGGCACGAAAGCTTAGCTAACGAAAAAATCTTTGTCATAAAAAAATGCCAAAGATCCTCTGTTCCATCGACATATAATGCACGATAAGTTTGATTTATAGGTATGCGAGTTCATATGAAATTGCGCATTTCTACAATTATGATTATTGCTACAAACTTTAATGTTTAAAAGTTCATTCAAATTCTCTAAACTTAGATTTACTTGCTGGAAGTTAATTTTGTTTATATTTATAATATAACCACTTAGAGCTTAGAATTCAACAGGCAAAGCACAAAGGAAAGCACCTGTCTGTTGTTATTTTGCTACGATCGAGCGCATTCTGCTCAAATTCTAAAACGTATCTATGGGCACTATTTGTCTCCCTATTTTCCTGTAGATTTCGTTGGGAAATCATTATATCGGGAGCGATTAGTTCCTTCTATGTAATGTCATAAACATTCATTTGAGAGTACGAGTTTTTTTTAACAAAAAATTATGTTATGGCTGACAAAGCTGAACTTCGCTTGATATCCTGAAATGATTTTAGAACTAAAATTCCGATCAGTTTGCCAAAGAAAATTCACAGATGGAAAGCTTAATGGCAAATATGTATCGTGAGCCGATCTAGTGACCAACCCAATAACAACGCATTTCAAAATGGCGTTCCTGTATAAAAATCAATTTTTTTTTGTTTGGGATAATGCAGATATATGCAAGTTCTCTCTATAGAATTTCTGTATAGGAATAAATAAAACATTCTGTTCAAGTTTGATATTTCTCCTAGACTTAATTTATCTAAAACGTCAACCAACGCTCTGAGAAGCTGAGCTTGGGATTAACGAGGCTAGTTATTTTTTTTCTTTTGCTACTCACAGCTTCTATTCATAGCCTTTCTGAATGTACATTCAAGTAAAATCTAGAAATTAGATATCGCGAAGGCCAGTGAGACCCGGTCAAACTTGTCTTAATGACGCTTGACGTCTTCGTACGTACCTTTTGCTTTTTACGGTACCATTATCTTCCAACCATTTAGACCAACCAATAGCGGATATATATACTGATCTGGTATATTTCCTCTAGCCCATCACAGTCGGGTACATTTAAAGTTGCGAAGTTACGTTTTATTTTAAGCGGAATATCAGTTTACGAAAAGTTCTTGACGGCGAGGGTGTTACAATATATTCAAACAGTAACTTATCCAACTACAAAAAAAAAAAAGGGTAAAGGTTGCTGAGATGCCATTTCGTACATAGCTTTTAGAGTAGCTTGCAATTATATACGGCATACATTTACTACGGTCGATTTGACTTTCGAAACATCTTCGATCGATGATCATCGTCAAATATAGCTCACGCTACGACAAAGACCCAAATCATCAAGCACTATCTTTCGCCCTGTAGTGTTTTCGCATGATTACTGAAGACTAGCGTTTACAGAGCAATCTGTGTCATTGTTAGCTTTCTCGCATTCGTTGAAGGCACGCGCAGCCTCTGGAAGAATTAAAAATGGTTTAAGTTGATCGTACGGTGTTAGAACTTGCATCACACGTCCAATTCATGTGACGCGGTGGACGATGAGGGTTACATTCGCTAAACTTCAAAGGGAGAGCACTCGAAAAGAGACCGCAATATTCAACAACAGTTTCGGTCGTCTGATTTACGCGAAGTACCGTACAGTTGTCTGCTCAAAACGTTCAGATCAGATAAAGTAACTCGTGTAAGCTCAGAGCAGCCACGGCTATCGTTCATCTAGAAATAGATTACAATATGGCGTCGCTTGGAGTGGACATCATTGCGATCTGTCGATCGATTTATTAACGCTACAATGAACTCCAGCAACTTGACGTCTACGGCAAACTCCAGAATATTGTGTTAATATCTATTCTTCTATTAAAATTCTATCGAAATTTGATAAAGGCAAGCTTATAGTGAAACTTTCTTATAGGCTATATTTCAGCGCACCAATGTACGGTCCGTCGTAACTGCGTGGATCACTCATATAGAATACCATTCATTGTACGATATCTAGTAATATCCGGAGGATATGCCAGTACTTGCGGATCTGAGATGATTTCAAGGTATTATCTTTCACGCGGTAAACGTAGTAGGACCACTTAGTCAAGTGGTCCTTACAACTATTATATTAATAAATGTTCACGTGACCGTTTATGATTTGTTAAGACGTATAAAAGCTAGCCCTGTCGAGGTTTACTATATAATTACGATGATTTTGTTATAAGAGTGATGTCGACAGAAGCTTTTATATGTGACTGGGCGCTAATTGGGCACTTTTTAAAATGATCAAGATGACTCCTATTTTCATATTTCACAGTTACCGACACGAATAAATCCGGTCATTTTTCTGTCTGTAGTTAGATATACATTACGATTTTGAATGGTGGAGATTTGTACTGACCTGGAGAATGACTATCTACTATCAAAACGATTAAAGAAGAATATTATATAATTCTACTCTTAAAAAAAATGGAAAAAAATTGACTTCTTAAATCAGTAAATAAATCGTCTCTTTTTTTAACGAATATTCACTAACTATAAGATAGGAACCTGTTTTTATTTAGAACGAAAACACGGATTCAACTTATGTCCTACTATTTTATTCGATACAATCTTTTGCCAGCCTTGAATTGGCCGAATCAGTGTATTATAATGTAGCTACGTTTCATTGTTCTAAAAATTCAGGTTAAAAGTTAGGAGAATGGCACCAGAGAACCTCATACAGTTTTCTGTGAGAAAAAAACACAAATATTAGTATCCTGTTTTTATCATGATCTGGATATACTGTGTTATTAGAACGAACCGATGGCCTGCAAGTCCAGGGTGTAGCGTAGAGTTTGACGTAGCCGGTTTTGTCCGACGAAGGACGGAGTTATGATCGGCGCGTTGGCATGTATGTATACAAACACAAAAATCGGAACCTAAACTTTGGTCGGCTATTTGCCGTTACAGAGATGCGTCCTGTCGCTGTTCCTGATACCGCAAAAAGGCCAATTGTTTTTTCGACAAATTAACTATGAAAAACCAATATTGCATCGTTATCGAAATCTAAGCTATCTATCGAGTCTCTTGACGCAGAGCAACAAAATGTCTGAGATCGACGGCCTACGTTATTGTCAGTTTTCATGCTGCTTTTAGAATAATTTAAAAAACACTTTTTTTAAGAAATTCTCTCACTGGGCTTTTGGGTTTAACGGAAATGTATCAAAAGGTTTTGAAAGGACTTTTTTGATACACCTGGATCTTTTACACAAAAATGAACTGCGGTCTGATAAGGAAAACACCAATAACAAATTGGGTAATTTAAATACGCTCCAATGGTTTATACTTTGAAATTTTTAGCGGTATTGACCTGTTACCGTTTAAAGATTTTAGTCTGACGTTAGTCCAGGTTTTATCTGCTGGATTTTTTTCACACGTGGCGTATTTGAACGACTTGTCAGCACTATCGCACCTACCAATATCGCCTGACGCGCGGTTACCTCTAAAAGGGGGCTCGCGAATTAAAAAATAAACATTTCAAAATCGGCTAATAGAAGATTTAGATTCTGAATGTGAGCTACGATAGAGGTAAAAGGTGGCACTTCTAGCGGATGCAGAACGTTTCGTAAAAGTACTGTAGATAACGAACTAGGAATTACGTCGGTTAAGGCATCAAACAGGTGAGCGATGCGAAAGGCCTGAAATCGATAAGGAATTTTCAACCGATTCTTAGAACATCATATTTATTCCGTAGCAAGGAACCGAAAGGTTTACTTCCCTTTGGAGCTCTAAGATTGCGTCTATTATAGAAAAACCCGAAAAAATAAATAACATTTATATTGGGATGTTTCGTCAATTCCGAACCTTTGTTGAGAAAGCGGTCCAAAAATGTTCTCCTAATTCATATTAGGGTCAACAGAAAACCTTTTGCAAATTTTAGTGTAAAAAATATTTTCTTCTAGTTAGGGTCGAGTTTGTCGAGAACAACATATCTTCTTTAAGTTAAGCTGCCACAAAATAGGTCATAAGAAGCTTTCTGACCGGTTTCTGATATACATACATACATACATACATACAAGAACAAGATGTGTATATTATAATTGTGCATAAATATGGATGTCTGCAATTTTTTCCAGCGTATCGTTGTTCTTCTTAGCAAGCAGAATATGGAAGAAGAAACAAAGTATATAAAGCTTTGGTGGCTTCATTATTCTAAAAAATATGTTTGAGAAAAGGCTTGCAGTTAAACGTTTTCGGAAAAAATCTCCTTTGCTTTGTAGTACCAAAGTTCTTACACCTACTAAAAAATCACTCTATAACGCACCTAAAAAAACGAAGCTCTGCGTACGCATCGAAGACGTTTTACGTATCACGGTAAGCAAGATAATGAAACACTACGATTTATTTCAAAAGCGTTTGTCCAACTTCCCACACCAAGCGGCTCGGTAGCGTCGCCTTATTCGAATTGCTTACATAGATGCCTGAAATCCTACAATTGTGACAAGGCGAACAAAATGCTTTCATAAAGCAATATGTAAGTATGTACGTGTCCGAAATAGTTTGAAAAGTTTTTGTCTAGAAGGGCCATCATGTCTCACAAGAGCGGACTTCAAGCTTTAATTTCCCTGAAGTAAATCGCCCGTTAAGCTGACCTACTAGTCATTGAATATCACCTTAGCTGTACTCTTTGATTGTATTAAAACTCGCTCATATTTTCATCCAACAGATACTCTATAGCCTGAATCTTCTATGCATTTTCGTTTGATTGCTCAAAGATCATTTAGTTTTCTGATATAAAAGTGTGAAAAAACGTCGGTAAGGTTGAAAACCGGACAAACGGGTAATAATGTGCTCTTGCTAAAAATGCCAATCATGCCAAGGGGTCTTCGCTCACTAAGAAGGATTATAACGATAAGAAGCTTACCTGGAACGCAGTTAGGATAAGTGTAAATCCGCTGTTGGTTTGTCTCAAGGTATCAGTTGTGTACTTGAAGGTCACGTAGTTACTCTGGGTGAAAAGGGTTCCCACTGATGTTCGATTGTGCTGGCACGAGACATCCATCTAGATACGAGAATGAATAATTTGTTTTGTCATAAGGCTCTTTAGATAAACAATCAAATTGTGCGTAATATTGTAATTCATTAATCGAACGTTTCAGCTTCTTTCTGTATTGAAAACGATCTTCCGTCTTCATTGAAGAACCTACTTTAGGTGCCCATACGGTGCTTATAGTTGTTTATACAATATTGAATTGGAAATTTCGATTTTTTTCCGGTCGCCACCACTCCTGTTTGCTCTGGGAAGTTTGCAAAAAAGCCCTTCAATCCTTGGGAACTGCACGTACCCTGCTCTTTCCAATGGCATGAGGACCATCGAAGATGACGAAGTGATCGGTGCAGCCCAGTGAAAGGTCCTCGAATCGCAGCATTAAATATTGCATTTCGGAAGGGGTTTGGAAAGTAAGGACACAATATTGGTCCGTTTCGTTGCCTGCCCTGAGAACAGCATCCTCGATCTGCATCTGGGGGAAGGGGTCACTTCCGCTGCAAAGCGATGTGATATTCACTGAAAGATAGAAGCTATCTCTAGAAAATCATCTTTCGAACTTCATCTTTGTCTCAGTGTATTTGCAGGAATAATGATAATAAAGCTCAGCGGAGATGATCTATTATTGTCGCAGTCATTATCGAGCAGATGGATTGGACATCGGGTCAACATTTTGCATATGACACTTCACCGGTGGAAGCCGTATTGTGTAAGGTATTCGCACAAAATTATGGAACATTTCACTCCTGCTCTGTTTTCGTGCAGTGTTCTGCTATTAATGATATCTGATCTATTGGCAAGTCAGAGATGAGTGGTAACACTATCAGCGCCCGTTCGTGATTGTTAGTAAATGCGTTAATTAAAAAGCGTACGATAGGCTCATTCCCTTTGTCAAAATACGTGTGCGTCTAAGAAAAAGGCTCGATATAATGCTATACACCTGCAAATGACACGTGCACATTGTACCCTTGATAATACTTTTTGATGCGGTGTATTTTTCTAAAGATTGTTTCGTTTTAATATACTTTTACTAATGTTATAGCTCTTCATTCTACTCTCGATTCGTTAATGCAGAGCGAGAAATAACCGATTCATATATGTGGAACCGCCAAACAGGCTAAATTATATATATACTGAGAAACATGGCGAGCCTTTGCAGCTCTTTCAACTATAGGGCCATAAAGATCTACACATATTCACGAGCGGCGTATTTCGATTTCTGTTGTCACGCAATGTTACCTCGGCTTCATGACAACCAACCGCTTGTTGGAACAAGGAACGATATTAGGATATAAGCTATTTCTGAAACAAGTTACTCAAACACATACGCTTTAAGTCACAACTAAGGCAGTTCGTAGTAATAAAAGGCTCGGCCTTTCCATTGAACGTCCATACCGCTTTTAACATATAGAGCACTTACGATAAACAGTTCCATGAACGTTTCGCTTGTCTTGTAGTGACAGGAGCAGGAGCAATAGTGAAACATACACTAAACACGAAGGAAAAGCTTGTCCCTTTGCCATTTTCGTTAACAATCGATGACTCGTCACGCCGAAGTTATTTAATTTGCACCGTACTTTTCGATTCCACTCGTGCCGAGGAAGTTTTGCTTGGGGCAATAAATAGGATGTTACGTTTCATCTACGCCATTTACTTAGGCTAATAAGAGGTGCTTTTTTGTGAAATATTTTCCTCTACGAGAAGCTTGTTGTTTGCCAAGAACCCGTATAAGGACGCCTAATCAGCTGTAGCATTGTTTCAACGAGACGAATACTGCTGAATCGTTTCGGTTCCTACGAATCTATTCGAAGATATCGATTAAACAGGTAGTCGAAATCACACTCGGCGGAGTGTATTGACGTTGCTTATGGGGCGGATTGTGACAGCGGTGGAAGTACAGGGGAAGCTCTGCTTATTTTTTTTTTTGTTCGATAGAGAAAATGACAAGGGCAGTCTAATCTTTCGCTGTCAACAACATGCATTAGCAGCCACTACTCTATATATGCTATTACTATTTATATCCATTGATTCATCCCGATTCTGGAATGGCTGATCCCGTGCCTTAACACGTCATGGGCAGAAGTGGTTCTGAGTAAATGCACTAAGTGAGTGCATTAAATCTATTTTTTTTTTCTGAAAAAACGGTTTTTGCAATCGATAAGTTTTTTTTTGTGCAAATTTTAAATTTAAAAATGCATTTTAAATTGAAAAAAGCTTGAGTCAACAATTTACCCGAATATGCCCAGAACGATTTAGAATAGCATTCGCTATTCCAACGGGTTGAGCCCGCCTACAGCATATGAGGTTAGCTTATCCGCAAACATGTTACCTGTATATACGCACAGCTTAAAAAATTCCTCAAAAAGATTTACCGTTAAACCTAGAAAAGGCTGAAACAGTTTAAACCCAAGCACGGCGTGATCTGGATGGCTGGTGCGCACCTCTTTGGCTGCGTCGCCATTCCAACAATCATGAACGTCAAGCGGCCATCGCTCGTTCGAACCTCGGTGTTGGCAAGGGTACGCCTATCGTTCGTAGGGTTGTTGCAGGCACCACAGTCAGGCCTGGCAAAATTAATTACGACTATAGCGGAGTTCAGTTCCTGATGTGGCCACAGAGGTGATTCCGGCAACTTATGTATATACCAAAAATGACTATTTTTCATCAGATCAATGGTTATTTATTTCTCATACGTCTCGTACCGGGGCGAAATAACGAATAGATGCGTACGCCTAGGCGGCTCAGTCAGTCTCCTTAAAATGTCACTGATCTCGTACATTTTGACTTGAATGTCTGTGCACGAGGCGTATCCAGACGGTTTGTGCAACAAATCTGTGCCAACAATGGCTAGTTCATTCATTTGTAGTGTGTGTGTGTAGTACCGGACCACTGAATGAGCGGTAATGTAAACGACACATTTTCAGAATAGGATCTACGGAGAATATAGTTTAACTAGTCATACTCGGCTTTCAATGGGCTCTATATGCTCGTACGTTAGCGACTGCTTTGTTTCGGGAAGTCGTAAGATGAATCAATGTTCAGGGAACGTTAACAACTTGCGTGTTACTTTAATCGCAATGGAAATCTCCATGTTCACAGGAAGACGCTTAAATCCTTTAGAGATTTTTTCAAAATGAACCAAATCTACACACTGACGCCAAGTCTGTGAGAGTTGGCAGAACTAGAAGATGGCGGCGCTTCGATAGGTGGCCTATAGGGTGAACGTTCACAGCTCAACGATATGAGTCTGTTGATGCCTGTTGAAAAAGGAAAAGGAAAACTTTGTGTTTACAAAAGTTCTCGTTCTCCTGCGTTATTAGGCCAGGTTTGATCGATGTTCGACGACATCGAATTTTAGCTCGTTTGCGCTCAGCCAAATCAAGTGATCGCGCTGGCCAGTGTTCTTTGATAACTATATTAAAAAATAAATAACAACGCAACTCTTCGACATCTTTTGTAGAGTTTTCTAGTGCAAATCGTTCTATTTCGCTACAGCGGATATGCCCAGCTATCTTATTTATTGGTTGAGTTTTTTTTAACATGAAATAACCAACAGGACTGCGAGCAGGCATCCTCGAGCTCAGTCTTAGCGAGTTACCCAAAAATTATCCAAAAATTAACATTATCATATACGTGACACGAGCAACGGAAGTTGTATCGGTAACAATGCACCATTTCTAAATAAATCGTTAGGTAGAAATATTTGCTATAAAAATATACTGCGCCTACACAGTGTACATAAAAATCTATAAATTTTAGACGAAATCTATGAAAATCAAACATTGCCATTAGGGCTTCTTGCTTGTTTCATTTAGACAATCAGTTTTCCGTAAGTAAATATTATCGTTAAGCTTTTAAAGCTATCTTTGATACGATTTGTTTTTGTTGGCAGTGCTTTACGTGAACAAGAACTAGGCCGGAACGTTGAAACTTTCATCCGCAGTTTAGATACTATGAAATCATTAGCGAAATCAGCCCAGAATCGCTAGGACTATTTGTTTTTCAGCAGTTTAGCCCGAAGCTTACTGTTAAGTGTTCCCTTTCCGTGATGGTTTTTCCCTGGATTTTGGTAATATCACTTCTCATTAGCAAAGGTCATTGCCGGATTTTACAAGCAGTGTCCACTACTAGCCACTCAGCAACTACGCTATATGCTTGTCTTCTAAAGTTGGCCAGTAGACTCATGCTGTTCCGTGGGTCGTATTGTCTACCTATATTAGACAAAAGATAGGTTCTGGGAATCCGATAGAACAAACGTTTAGCTTACTTTTTGTATCGTGTCGTAACACAGTGCATCGTATCAGAACGCGTTTCTCAAATACTGGAATAGAACATGGTCACTTCCTCAGACTATTAGATACGAGAGGATTCAAAAGTAAAAATCATGCATTTTTCATGATGCTTACCTAGTGACGCATCGCCCCGAGTAAGAAAAGTACAATTTCGAAGCGATAAAGGCTTGCTTCACGAAAATCCGTTAGCTACATTGCCCAATTATACGCTCGTGACATGTGGGTACCAACTGCTTTATCATCGCTGAGCAAGCTAAAAAATTAAATCCTCGACTAGAGTGAGGATATTGACAACGGGTATGGCAGTATTTTCTCGACCTATCAAGGGCTGTAAATAAAAGTTCGTCTGTGACATGAATACAGGAGCGTTGTACGTATTTGAACAACTATCTTTTTTCAAAGGTACGTGCCCTAAGCAACAGTTATAGCCAGTAACATTCCCGTAGAACCATACCGAAGATTCGATTGATTATCGATACATTACATACTTGGCAAGGCCAAATGCACTGCGTACTTTCATTGGTAATCAATGAAAGGCGAAAAGAATCGAAAGAAATCGACGATAGGGTCTAATCGTTTATTTTAACGAGCTAGTTGTGGTCCTACGATTGCTTCGGCCGTTGGTTAACCTTGAGATCCCAACGGATTTTTCCTGTTAGCACTAACACGGCAGAAATACTTACGACACTGTTGTACATTTGAAATGTACAGCGTGCAAGACTGTTCACAGCAGCGTCCGGTTTTTTGACGCCGGCGCAAGCTAAACTAAAGCCTCGAATAGAATAATGAACTGAGCAATAGACACGGGCAACGTCCGGTTTCCTTTGTCACGCTCATAGATATCTGGTACTATCGAGAGTAGTAACATACCCTCCCTTTAGCTTGGCCGCTTTTTCGGCCGCCTGTCGGACGTGCGGGGTGTCTCATTGTCTAGCTAATTCTAGTCTAAATAGTTGACGATGTTTCATATTTTAATTTCCTTGCCGTCCAAGAAAGGCCCAACTAGCGTTAGCTCCTTTTTTCCAAGTAATGAAGGCACCTTGCGTTTGGTAATTTTCTGTTATCCACTGAGCAGCTTTCGTCGAAGCTCCGTTAGCCCACTGTTTAAGAAGTTCAACTCGCTCTCTCCTTATGATAAACAAGTTATTCGCGTACGCAATCAAATTCACAGCTGACAAGAAGTCCACCAACAAAAACCTCGCAACTTAACAAAAAGTCGTATTCTCTTTCTTATGAGGGATTTCATTCCTTTAGCTGCAGTATATAAGGCCCCGTTCCTTTAGAATAAAAACTACTTTTGCTTTTTCCCATACCTTGGAAAAACCGAGCTTAGATATTGATAGCACTTTCAACTAATGAAATTATATATCGTATAACTCATTGCAGTCCTCAGGATATCACGACAGCTTGGGAGTTCTCTTACTAGAACGGTCAGATGTTCACGGCAACACCTCCATGTGCTCTTTCTGGGATGAATCCAGGCTATTACAACTTTTATACCACTCCTTACGAGAGGGATCAGGATAACGGAAAAATCTTCCGGGTACCTCTTTTCGCTTAGCGTCTTCTCGAAAGCCGCTTTGACGGCGTCGCCACTTCGCTTTCTGAGTCAAGGTAATTACTCAGATCTTCTGTTTCAACTCGTGTTCCGTACTATCATTCTTACTCATTAGAAAATTAATTATTTCATTATTCTATCGAACAGCGAACCGTTAAGTCAATGGTCGATTCATGCCTGTTCCGCTGGACCATATGGGTATCTCTAATGTTAGGGGTTACAAAATCATCGGTAACCATGAATATCTGAACTGTTATCTTTTATTACCATTATGGACAGTCTATATTTCTGAGGTAGCGTCGAAGTAAATCGAGAGTTTTACCGATATTCGATATTTTTCCATTGAAGGAACGACGCTGTCTAGTATAATCATAAGATCTTTGGCCGAACTCTTCGATCACATTAATACAGATCGAAGCATTTGATAGCTTGCACTTTGACTTACATTCGTCCTGCATCTCCGTAGCTCTGGCATTGTGCGGTTTTTTTTCTTGCTGCTGTTTTACAGGAGGGGCTGCTTAGCGGGGTAAGGGAAGAGCTGTGCCACTATAGCCAACTCCAATTGCATCGTCGTCTTTAATCTATCTAGTATATCTACTTAAGGTCGATGTTGCAGACCCCCCCCCCCCTAATTTTTTTGCAACGGTAGATTTTACTGGGGAACTGTAGCTGCCGCTGCGGGTGCACGCAATTTGAGTACCACATGGTGCCCACATATCCTCGCTTTGGATAGAGGACATATAGTTGAATTTGTTCCGTGGTCGACTCGATATTAATTGCAGCATTTCGGTGTGGCATCGCAGTGTTTCGCCATATGGCTAAGGCTGCCACGTTTGTAGCATATATATGGTTCAGGGTGCTATACCTATAACATCCATAATTTATAACTTTCTAAATTAACTAAATTATTATAACACTTTTAAAAAGCTACTCGATTAAAAATAAAAGTGTACGTCCAATAAAAATGTGTAAAATGAAATAGTTCGTACGCCAACCATTTTACCGTTAGATCGAAGAGAAAAAGTTAAATATAAAAAATTACCTCCAGAAATACACCGAGAAAACAAATGCGTTTTTTTTAAATAGGAGCCTTTCCAACAGTTGCCCAGCAAAGCACCAAAAAATGTTTTTGTCTAGTATTTGTAATTTGTCCAAATTAATATTATGTTCTATGAGGAAAAAGCTTCTCGCGGACGAAACTGTTCATCCAGTCGGTTGTTGTTATTAAAAGATCGGGACGAGTGTTTTTGCCAGTTGTCGGCTTCCCGCCAAGCGCGCCATTCTAGTTTTCGTGATAATTCCTTACTTATTCGACCATACACGACGTAACAATATTTTTAGTATGTTTACCGATGATGACAAATGCGTTCTGCGTGGTCTCTCGCTTGGTACTCGAAGACGGCCCAGCCGTATTGCCAACCCCGCATTAGGTCACACAGCGGGCCACCAACGCGAGAGGAGTATCTTGTTAGTGTTGTTCCCCCTGCCAACGTCATGCTTTCGTTATTGTTTCCATCATTATTACTGCAGTTGTTGCTAATTCTGTTATTATCATTGTCCCTAGATGTTCGTCATGCAATGGATTGCCGCTGAGATCCATATTACTCAGAAAAATTGTAATCATTTCTATGTAGGCGATTGATGGGTTTGATTGTGTGTGCTACTTAAAAGACATCTTTGTGTTTTGCCTCTTCTAATAGCTTTAACGTTTTTCTGTCTTTAGAGAATATATAAATAAGGAAGAACGATGTAAGTGCCCACATAGGCGCCTACTAACAGTCGCCATCGTTAGGGCTACTGCAAGACTGTGTAGAATTAAGTGAAGTGCCCGTGTATAAGCGATGGTTGTACACCCGCTCCTCAATGTGGAGGCAAACTTGTAAAAAATAAGTATAAACTTATTTAGGCATGGATGCAGAGACGCTGTTCTTTTGCATTGTGATCTGGACAGTAGTATATCATAGAGCACCGTTAGACAACGACCACCCCGTGGAGCAAACGTGACTTGCTTACAATGGGTAATTGTTATTTATATTTTGGTTTCTAGCTGTTTTCAGTGATTATAAGTTAGATGTCTTTCTCAATTTATCACTTCGCTCGGACGGTGTCCTTAGGTCATCGTCTCAAAGACTCGCTGTATTCTTCGTTAGTTATCCTTTTTTTGTTGCTGTTTATTTTAAAAGCACTCTTCCTCTTTTCCGTTCCTTATTTCGAACGTGTAAATATATACGTATGTTATTTTTCGAATATGTATTTCTAGGACTACATCTGAAAATGACCCATATTTGACTAACATTTAATAGATACATTTGTAAGATAATTAGATTTAATGAGGTTGCCACCATTTTGAAAATTACTGTTTTATATTGCGACCTGTGGATCGATCAAACCTGATTAAGAGAACAGCCAACGATCTACCCTGAAGTAGTTTGACAAACAAGTAAGTATTGCACTAATAACACTACATACATTTTTTTTTTCTTTTTTGGAGGTTAAGGGCAAATGCATTATGCAAACCGGACATCATTGACTGCGCTTTGTCCGGTACTGTGGGGCTCTCACCCACTAAACCCTGGACCCCTTTATCAGCTTGGGCCGTGGTTCGGTATATGTTTGCTATTACTTCGAAGAACACGCTAAGCATTATATTCAGTTAAGGGATGCATCACTTTAGGGCTAAAGAATATCTTCTTCGAACTAGCACCAACTCTTGCCGTTTTTATATTGCGACATACCGTGCTTGTATAGCAATGCGGAAAATGTAACAGAGCAGAAAAAACAATGTAAACGGTGGAATGTTTCAAAAAAATGTTTCAGTGGAACATAAACTATCGATATCTTATAAGCTGCTTTCTATACTTCTGCTTATAATACTGCCACGTGCATCTGACCGAAGAGCACGAAATCATAGTGAATCTGCTGTAGGCCAGCGTGAAATAACGTCAACGGCTAAATGTGGTGCAGAATTAATGCCAGATCCTCTCGTAAGGACAATCCGCCTAAGACCAATCAATGCACGATGTAGTCGATCAAAAATCATTGGTTTTCATATTGTGACCTATCTCGAAAAGTAAATGGTCAAATCACAAGCTACTATTTGAACTCTACTTAAACCGAATCGGAGCCATAATTTCTATTCATGTAACAGTAAATCGAAAAAGATCTAACGAACCCAGGACCGTACCATACGACTTGATGTACAGTGTCCGGAATGCCTGATTTAGCGTCCGTTGATATTATATATACCCTTAGTAACCTGGTAACTCGAATCTATAGAGAATGCGTTTAACTAACATTTAAGTTACTGAAAGTTGTCTCACCGAAGGCTCGTTATTCCACCTGTGACAACAGGTAAAAATATGTGACACCGCACTTTCCTTATTCACGCTTTCTACTCAAAGATCTGTCAAATTCCTAGATGCGCAAAAGCTACTCACGCGAATGTTGCCATATATGTATATGACTATTGTTTATCTATCTCAAATTCAGGCGGTAAACATACACAAGGTTTGCCTGTCTTTACGGGCAAATTGTAACAAACCCTAGCGAGGGATCACATCAATATTTTACAAAAAAAGAAAAAATCATGAGTACTAATCTGGCTCATTTTGATTAGAAGCTCTTTCTTCAAAAACCACTCGAATCATGCTATGTTTACTTCATATATGAAAATCTGCAAAGAGGTAAAAATGAACCTTGTACGTTTGCTCAACCTAGAGCATCTATAGCCTAGATATAAGGAAATACTTCCACTCTAAGCCTAAATACCCGCTTCGTTTTCTATTTATTCGACTGTACTATTTTATTAAGATTTTTTTATCGAAATCAAAATTTAACCCCATTGCTAAATGTAACAGTTTAGAAATACAGTTACCAGAACGGCTTACAAGCGGACATATTCAAGTTGATTGGGCCTTGTTGCCCTAAGGAAAAGTAAACGTTTGTCTGGAATTGTGTACGAATATATTTGCCAAGTGTTGCAATAAAATAGTTATAGCGTGTTCAAATAAGACAACTGTAACATGCTGATAGCAGTGAATAGAGCCGTTTCGTATCATTATATATTCGTCATTGCCTTCAATCAACTGTAGTACAGGACCTGTAAGTATGTACCTGAGTAATGTTTGGGGAACGTACTTGGGAATTTTAACAATAAATTATTATTTATTGTTAAAATTCCCAATAAAATTCCCATCTACACTAACGAGCTGTCGCTGGTCCAATAATCTATGGTGACTCACTGAAATTTCTGTATGTATCTTCATCTTTAATTTCTTTGTCCATTTTTCGAAGTGAACGGGACCAGCAGCCAGGTCAAGTAAGCCATAGGACACTCAAAAATACTCTGGGCAGCTAAAAGTCAAGATAATCTCTGCAATCTACACGAATAGAAACTATTTTCTATGTCTCTAGTGGCCATTATGCAATAACTTCTGACGTTTCCTCGAAGGGAAGAAATGCAGATAAACGATTATGCCGATAAGGTCACTACTCGATCGAGACGCTATTAAAGTTGCTGAGATACTTAAGCGGTCCTACTAACAAATCTGTCCGAGTGGTACCAGTAATAATGACAAGAGATGATAGCCCTGCTGACCCAACGATGTACAAAGAAATCGTTCCTAATAGGCAATTCCTGCCTCAGAAATAGGCAACTGTGTTTATGGATATCTGTAAGCAGCACAAGACTTACTACTTGCATTAATAGTCCTGAATTAGAAAGCAACAGATTGGTCAGACTTTCAATCAATCTAATAAGTCTAATCAAAGCTAGGTAGTATGTACGGTAGATCCCAGACGCCACAAGGTACCTTTCCTACTAATCAAGGGGCCCAGATGGCGACTTGATGCCCTAAACTGATGATAGACTAAGAACCCAGACAAGACGAAAGATAAATCGTAAAATGGGCCATTGTGACGAGTTCTTAAAACAGACGTGAACAGCAGTATCGAGGCAGGCCCTAGAAGGAACAGACGAAAGTCTGTTATGATGATCGTTAATGTGCTCACAATTCTTGACACAAAGGCCGCTGATTTCGTCATTAAACTCGTACCTTGCATTTTTTTGATTTGGAATGGTATAACTTTAACTTTACTACATAACTTTATTTGTTTACGGAAATTTTGCGCGAAAGAATGTTTTTCTATTAGACTGTTTACAGTTATTGCCGATACAAAGCAAGGTAAAACTGTTTTCGATAGGTAGTAAAATTATCCATGAACCGTCTTATTCGATTGTTTTACATACGCATGTTATTTGCCGAATGGATGGTGTTAGCAAATAACAATAAATATACCGGTCAAATATTACCTCTGTTTCTCCGTATTTCATTATCAAGTAGGCGCGGTCCGCCTGTAGGCCGCGTCATCAGAAACACTACGAATACTTGAAGTGTTATTATTCTAGATTTCCAATACACTTTTATTACTAGACATGTTAGGCAAAAGCTTTAGGCTAGGACATATAGAGTTGACGCAGTTAACGTTCTAGTTCGAGTGTGCTTGTAGCTGCCGTCACGTTCACACGCTGTGAGGGCGCCTGTTGTCGCCCGAGGTTTTTCATCTCTCGCTTATTTACTATTATAATACTGTTACTACGTTATTTAGT